TATATATATATATATTCATTGCCTCCGCCTTGCATCGGGCAATTTGCCCCTGCTGAGTGCCTTGTTGTTTTCAGGTCCAGGCAAGAAGTGATGTGGCTCATGTGAAGGGCATTGCTGACTTCAATCTTGACTTCAATGTCTCTTCGTGCAGCTAGCAGGAAAGCGTGCAATCGTAGCAAAACTGATCCCTTTGAGTACTCACTCGTATTTTAAGCAGCCTTCGACTTTTCTTGGTACCAAGATCCCGATATAATCCTGAAGCTGAAGCTTCAGGTCCCCTAAGGGGCTAGACAACAAAGTATAAGCCTGAATGCTAAGCTTAGGGTTCTTCCAGGCTCTTGCACTCGCAGCACTTTTTCTTATCATGCTGAGAGGACAAAGAGTGTCTTGCGGATTGGATTGCCTACTTCGACAACCGCACCAATCTCAGAAGGAATCCGGGTGATTTCGGGCTTCTGCCCTCAGAGAGCTCCATGGAGCAACGAGCAAGCAACTCAGAAACTTTCTTGCTGTCTCCATGCTCATGCATTCCCTTTCACGTCGGTTTCCGTACCTCAGCACACAAAAAAGAGCGGAATTGTCGGCAGACACCGCAAGCAAGGCTACGGGCAACCGCTGGGCGAGTTGCGTGACAGGCACGATGTTGAAGAGAGATATGGGTCTTGGAAACATTGGGGCTGCCCCCAAAGATGTACCCAGTCAGCAAGCCACTCCGGTGATCATATGTCCGATCCTGGACATTCACGCGTTGTAGACTGGTCTCATGTTTGCAGCCTTACTTTCTGCAGGCCCCATCCCATCAGCATCAAGGACTTCGGAAGGTCGTATAATGCCGACGCTTCACACTAAGAACCCGTGCACCTCCTATGCTGTAGTATGTCTAAGGGGTTCCAATATCGTAACGGTAGATACCACAAGGGTCGGTGGACCCGTTGCATTATGATCTTGGCCAGTGTCAGAAATTTGGACTCAGTTGTTGCTTTGCCCGGTGAGCCTTGCAATGGCGCGGTAGAAACCAGCTGCCTGCTGCGATGCGAAGAACGCATGGCGCCTTATTTATCGAAACAGAAGCTGTGTGTTGTGGCAGGGGCAAGCCTGTCAGCAGGAGTGCTTCGGATTGAATCTGACAGTCTCGTCGTGAAGCAGCTGCACCTGAGATCTCGATGTGCGAGGACCTCCCCCGTGCAACCAAGATCCCCTTCGAGTCTGCTGAAGAGGAGGCAGCCAAAGAGCCCCACAGGGTTCCTGGTAGTGATTGCGTTCAGTATTTGGAATGCCTAAGCATGGTTTTTAAACATACCGGGTGATCCCAAGAAGGTGCTTGCTAGAGGGAAGCTGCACAGTACTGCAACTCAGAGCGGGGAACTGCATCTCATGCTTTGTGGAGCCTTTGTAGAACCCTTAGTTCCCGAATTTTATAGTAGCCCCTAAACCCCAAACCCNNAACCCTAAACTTTGCCTAAACCCCTAAAGAAACTATAGAACCCAAAAAGCCACAAGCCCGAAGCCTTGATATGCAGGAGGCCGACAGCGCGAAGCCACCTGCGAGCAAGCTGTGAGATGCGGAGAGGGCCATTACGGCTGAACGCCAGGGGTCGGTCTTATCTTTGGGGCTTAAAGTTTTAGGGTCAGCGCTAGCTGG